GGGTGGTGGAACCACCCACGCGAAACGATGCCCTGTGGTTCGCACCTACGTGCAGCCGCGCGTACCTATGCTGCCGTGGCGTTTCGAGAGCCAATCGATACCGGTGCCATCCTCGCCACCGCCATTTTATTTCGCGGCAAGCCCTTTTTTTCTATCCCTACCGCGATCACCGCACCGCCGCCACCCCCGTCACCGACGACACCGCCGCCGACGACGTCGACCGCGGCAATTTTTACGCCGAAACGAAATCCAACGTTTCGATTTTCCCGTTCCTTCGTGCCTATGCGTTTCCCTTTCGAGAGGAAAACTCTTTGCGAGAACGTAACGCGAGAAAAAAGACGAACGTGGAAAAGCGAGGAAGACGAGACGGAGAAAGCGAACGGAGCGTGGTAGGCAGCGCAATCTAAACGAGCGATCGGAATCCGATCGAGATCCGATAATCGAGTTGTTGGCACCTGTGGCAGCGGACATAATTAATGTCGGCTAGCTGCTACCGGCTGGCCCCCCTCTCTCCCGGCTCGGCCTGTTCGTTAATTCCCGACGGGACATTACCGAGCAAATTAGGCGAAAGCCAGGCATCGTGCCTCACTGTTCCCGGCTTTATTCCGGCGGTTGCGCGGCCGAAGCGCGGAATAAAGTGGCCGAGAATCGTTGCGGAAGTAGGCGTTGCGCCGTCACCGTCCAAACGGACGAACGGCCAAAGAGAAGAATCGAAGAGGACGAGGACAAGAAAGGAGAAAGAAGAAGAAGATTCTCGATTCTTCTCCGTTTCGTTTCCCCGGTTTCTACGGGGGTAATTAGCGATTTAACGGACGCGCCAAACTCGACCGCGCTCTACTCGAGTGGCTCGAGCAAGCTGTTATTAGGAGCGAAGCGTCGCGAACCGCGAAGCCACCGTACATAGGGGAACGAGAAGCGGAGTAAGAAGATGGATGAGCGAGGGGCAGGGAAAACGGCCGGGTAAAAATTAGGCGGCGATCTCCTCGAGACGGACAGGAAGGAAACTCGTCGCCACGGTTAGGGGGTGAGCGACCGAGCCGAGCCGTTAATGTTTTGTGTATTCAAATAAAGAGCGTCGATGCACGCGTTCGCACGCGTGCGAGCGAGCGAACACTCTCGTCGCGACTAAAGCGAACCCGAGCTAAGGCTAATGGCTTTATAATGCCTTCGTTTCGCGTTGAAACGCCACCGGTCCGCTCGTATCCCTTTCGCGGACGTTTCTCCCTTTCTCTCGCTGAAAAAACAAACGTTAAAAAGCTTTCCAATTTAGAGGATTACTCCTCGAGATCGTCGAAACTCGGTCCAACGCGAACGGATTCCCATGGGCGGTTAAGCCCGACCAGATCCTGGTTGTTGCACCCTCGTTGGCCTCGTTAACCGCTCGACAATGCTTCTAAACGGCTCGCCTTGTACTCGGTTAACCGAACGGATCCGTCGACGTTCTACTCGAACGCGGAACCGCCCACGGACATTTCGGATGGGGAGGAGAGTCCAGAAGAAAGAAGCAGAGACAAGTAGGCTCGGTACAAGAGTTTATTAGGGGTTATTTACAAGGGAACAGCTCGCACATAGTGTATGCATCTTCGCGACGCAAGCATCAACGATACAACGCTCTACGCTAACGCTAATCGCCGGCACGGGCGACAATGGATCGTCGATTAAGATATCGCGAAAGAAACGCGAAGCGCGCGCC